GAAGGAGATTTGTTCGATACATCACTTCCCAACAAATATAATCATGGTAGCAGTAGACCAATAATAAAACATGGCGCAGCACACATTCCGTGGCATGTAATAAGCATAAAGGTGTGTTTACTTTCATAGTAAATGAAAACAAAATAAGATAGGGGTAATAATGGTGTAACTGCATAGAGAACAATAGTAGTAAAGAAAGCTACTATTAGGGTTGGCAAAAAAAATGGAAGAAAGTTTCACATTCTTTATTTTGGTGGCGGAAAAGTCAAATCAACATTTATAGCTTGACCAAAATTTTGTAGTATAAATAGACAGCAGATGATGTATGCTTCATTTAACTTCCATAAAAAAAACACAACACAATAGTTTTATTACAAGCTTTAGCCTACAAGTCATATAGATATATCCTAATTAATTAATATGGCCAAAGTATATCTATTTTAATCATGAAATATAAATATTTTTTTATTGATATCTATATAATATATTTTTCCAAAACATAGAGTTTAAAATACTTACACATATTTTAATTTTTTTTCATGAAATATAAATATTTTTTTATTGATATCTATATAATATATTTTTCCAAAACATAAAGTTTAAAATACTTTCACACATATTTTAATATTTTTTTAATTATATATATATTATAAATTAAACGGATTACTTACCATTAAACTTTCAGCTTAAAATATTCAATCAATAATATCAACTACAACAATAATTACTCTTCACGCTCCAAACCAAAATAGGAAAAAAAAATGAGTAAATTATATAACACTACTTTTTATTTTAAAAATGCATAAAACAGTATTTTATTTATTGTGTGAAATCCCTTTATATTAATATAAAGTTTGCTCGAAATACCCTCATTGTCCAAAACTGATATTTAATTTGGTTCTAAATAAGTACCTAAATTACACAAATTTTATACAAATAAAAACTGTAAAATATCTTAATATTTTTTTGAATAAAATAAATAAACAAATAATTGATCAATCATTTATTTTTATAGTTTTTGTAAAAATAGGATAACGATTTGTCCCCAAAAAACTATAAAATGAATGATTAATCAATTATTTTTTTTTATTTATTTTATTCAAAAAAATTATTTAAGATATTTTTTATTTGTATAAAATGTGTGTAATTTTGGTCTTTATTTAAACCCAAACATCAGTTTTGGACAATGAGAATGTTTCATGCAAATTTTACATTAACACAAGGGGGTTCATGCAATAAATAGAATAAGAAGGGTTTTATGCATTTTTTCTAAAATACAAAGAGATGCTATATAATTTACCCTAAAAAATTGGTAGGAATGAATGAGTATGGTACACTTGTAGGGATATGGCAATGGGTCGGCACCGAGACCCGACCCAAATACACATTGTTGGACCCGGCTATACCCGGACCCGACCACACACCCGATACTCGACAAGACCCGACAAGTTTGAAAAACTTTTACAATTCTTAAATTTTAATTAAACATTAGACTCGGACTGGACACACTATAAATTTTACGTATTTTATTCAAAAATATTACAATAAAATAATAAAAGATATATATTAAGCTCATAAAAATATATATAGTATAATTTATATTGTTAGGAATTATTATTATGTTTTTTACATATAATTGATATATTAGTAATATATTAATCGGGTCCGGGTCCGGGTCGGGTCGCCCTTAGACCCGAGACTCGACTCAAGACCCGACCTGATTCCAATAAGTGTATACAATACCCGATTTGATACAAAAATAATTGAACCAGGCTCCAAATAAATGGGTCTGGTTTGGATTGAGTCTCTAATCTACCCGAATCTATTGTCATCTCTAAATATTTGAGAAGCACTTAATACACCGGCTGATTTATCCATCCAAACCAAGAAAAAAATAAGCAATCTTCGTCTTTGCCAATTCTGTTCCAGCAATATTGAGATGATAAAATCGGAATCCGCCGTATATTAAACCATTCAAATTCAACTAACAGGACTCCCGCCCTTCCTAAAAATTTAATTTTAAAAAATATGTATATTTTATATATTTATATATATATATTATGAAATCAAGAAATATATAAAATAATATTGGAATATTTTGTGAGAGAAAAATATATAAATATATAAAATTAAATTTGATGGAATATTTTATAAGTGAAAAATATATATATTTTTTGAAAACATAAAGTCCAAATAAAAAAATTTGAGGAAATTTGGCAAAAGAAAATACACCACGAAAAAAAAGAGGCAGTGGGTGGGCAAACAAACTCTTGGATTACTAATAAGAATAACAAAATCCATTGTTATTATTTATTTTTTTTCATATTTAACTTTGAGAATGCTATTAAATTAATTTTATTGTAATACCTCAGAGTTGGGCCGGTGCTTGGTAACTCCCGTGGATGAGCCATTGCTCGGCTATCCGAGATTGAATAATAATTAAATGGATTCAATAGACTACTTATCTCAATAATGTACACATTTCTTTTCGGAAACTCTACTGAAATAACTCTAGAGTTAAGTGTGTTTGCCCTAAAGTAATTTGAGGAAGGGTGACCCCATGAAAAGTCTCCCAAGGTGCGCGTATGTGAAGACAGAAACGCGGTGGAAAGATTCGTGTTGACATATGGGGAGATCCTGACACGCCTGACCTTGCGTGGCTTGCGGGCCGGAGTGTCATAGTTGGTATTAGAGCTGACCTATGACTGCACGCCCCTAGCAGTTTATGATTCTTGGGGTGCAACGGAGACGTTGATTCTAAAGTCAGGGAGGATATAATAACCCTGGAGTTTGGCCGGTGCTAGGCCAACTCCCGTATATGGATGAACCGAAGCGAGTTTGGCCGGTGCTAGGCCAACTCCCGTATATGGATGAACCGAAGCTAGGCCACCCAAGAATGAGTAGAGATTAAATGGATTGAATAAACTACTCATGTCAACAATGTTCACATTCCTTTTCGGGAGCCCTACTGAAAGAATTGTAGAGTTAAATATGCTTGATCTAGAGTAATTTGAGAATTGGTGACCCCTTGGGAAGTCTCCCAAGGTGCGCGTGATTGAGGACAGAAGCGCGTGACCGGGGTGTCAAAGTTGGTATCAGAGCCAATCTATGACAGCCCGCAGTCCTTGATCGGACTGATTATGGGTCTATCAATTGATGATCCTTGGGGTGCAATGGGAATATTGCTTTCTAAAGTAAGGAATAATGTAATACTACTGAAATATATGAAATAATATTTGATGAAATATTTTATGAAAAAAAACATATATTTTTTTTCAGAAACATAGAATCAAAATAATAGAATTTGAGAAAACTTGGCAAAAGAAAATACACACCATAAAAAAAAAAGTTGCGCAAACAAACCATTAGAAAATGTTATTAAAAATACATTTCTTGAGTTACTTAATCTTGTTAAGAAATAGGTGCTCCGCCAAAACTCTTCTTGAACACCTAAAATAGGGTCAACTCCGGAAATATGGTTATATCACGGTTATAACGGCTTACTGCCAACAATACAAATGTAAGCTTCCAAAGCAGTAAATGAGACAAAGTGTTTGATAACCCGGTTCGGTTGTAAACAAACCTAGTGGATTTCAATCCAAGAGAAGTTCTATAATTCACCTTGATTACAGAACAAATAACCAAAATTTCTTCAACTCATACCTCCACAATAGCCCATCTTGGAAAATCCCTCCACAAGTCTAAGTTGTCACAAAATCATACTGACAACGACCTCAAAGTAGAGCTGATCAGAGTTTTATCATCTCCGTTGATTGAAACTCCAGAAACTTCAATCTCTAACGAACTCTCCAGCGAGTTAGAATGCTAAACACTCATTCAATATATGGAAAATAGAAAGGGCAAGGTGAGAGCATCGAATCACACTTTTTCTCTCTAAACAAATCCCTCAAACCCTTGCTTACAATAAAAAAAAAACACACTCCTTATTTGACTATACAGTCAAGAGACTGTACATGCAAAACAAAGTCATTAATTTCCCTTATTCACAAAGATGGCATGGGGATTTTCTGCACAATTCTGAACATGCTTTGCATCCCCAAAATAATTTGTCTTGTATGGAGAGAAAGACAAACTGAACATTGATTGGTTGCAGTCTGAAGGTGTTAGCAATCAATAGGGTCAACATTGCTGTAAATGGAACATGACGACAACAGTAGCAAGAGTAAGGTGTACCCATTGCCAATACGGGTAAATAGAAAAAAATTTCTTTTAAGAAAGCTCATTTATGTTCAATTTATTTTGTTTCATTTTTTCTTGTTTTTCAAACGTTGTAAAGAGAATCAGTTTGAATACACAAAAAAAAACAAAAGTACAATTTTTTTTAATACTATCTCCGTCCCTTATCAAACTATTCATTTTTTCATTTTCATCTGTCTCATAACAAAATATCTGTTTCTTTCTTAGTAATTGTATTATTTACCTAATATCATGCAAATCGTATTACATTTATATCATACAATAGTAATAAGGTTATTTTTATCATTTTCTTATAATGTGTACTACACATCAATATTGTATTAATATTAATAAATTTACGTGCAAAAAAGCAAATTAATACTTATTTAAGAGACGGAGAGAGTATTAAAAGTCAAATAACCAATCTAAATTTTAATAAGTTTATAGCACTTGAACATTTTATTAATATAATACTCCCCGTGACATCTTTCATTTTTTTGCTCTCCCGTAACAATATGAACTGCATGAGCGATATCTGATCGAGTGACAGTTAAATAGATCAAGCTCCCAACAAGTTGACAATAGAGGGTTGGATCATCAACAAGAGAGCCATCATGAGGAGTGAGTTGAACATCGTAGACAAGTGGTGTAGAGACTACTTGACAGTCAGTGAGACCAGCTCAAGCAAGGAAAACAGAGGCATACTTAGATTGAGAGAGAAAGAGACCATCGAGAGAATCAGAGACTTTAAGCCCCAAGAAGTAACGAAGGGGACCCAAGCTGTAACACCCCCAGTTGGCTCATACTGGAAATGCTACCGCCACACTGCATCATGAGGTCGTCACCTCCTACTTCGGGCCCCACAACACAGTGTTAAGGCTAAAATTAATTATATAAGCATTTTATTATTCCCAAAAAAACAAGTTTATAAATATTTACAAAAACATACTCCCAAAACGGGAGGTTTTTCTAGTTAGAATTTACATATAATACATCAGATGCAGTTCACTCATTCAGCCCGTCTTTCTATCTCCCGAGACCTCCCCTGTCCCGGAGGTGCCATGCGTACCTGAATCAAATATTTTTCTTAAAAGCAGTCTAGAATTAAATCCATTTTAAGAACTAACATAAAATATGCCATGTCATGCTCGAAAGTAGAGTTTAATTTCCGTCATTTGCAAAATAAATGCCATGCCATGCCCATACTGAAATAATGTAACAATAATGTCAAAATCGACAACTCATGCACATATACCCATATACATATGTCAAAGTGAGCAGCCGGAATAACCTCGGCTCCATAATAACAGCTCACTAGACTATCATCAATAAATAGCCGGAAAATCCTCGGCTCAAGGAAGGACCTGGTAAACCCATAATAATATAACGGTCACCCGGTCACTCCCATATACCCACCATACGACTCCCGCAATCAATACATGGATACTCGAGCGTTGTCGCCATTAACCACAAGACACCCCATAGTCTGTGATAGCGAAGATAGGACCCTCCTGTCTAGCCCTACCCCGTGTAACGTAGTAGAATCCGTGCAACCTGGAATCACCCGAAGGAAACCCGGAAACTCTACTCCTCCTCGCACGCCCTAACGGGATCGCATTTGGAGTTTGGCATATGATCCTAAACTACCGGTAGACCTCACTAGTAGCTACTCCAATGAGTGGAACAACACCGAACACGAATGATTAGACCAAATACGTCTCAACTGCAATGGGTCTAATCCCTGAATGACCGTGCGACTAAGTCACCCAGTTGTCCGACTACTATCGTCCACTATCGCCAAAGTGTTACGGTACATCGGGGTCGAATATCCTAACCCCAGATGATGCCCTCGCCTAGCACTACCGCACATGGCGACTAAACGATAGATCCATAAAACATATCCGATAAATCGTGCGATGTGTGCAGCATGTCAATAAGTGAATTTAATGAAAAGGGCTGGTGAGACGGCCCACCTATCCTCCTTTTTATAAATTCACCAACACGATCAAATACGTATATCAAATATCGTAAAACGAAGTTTCACACATGCATATACACACACATATATACATATATAGATGCACTGACCAAATGATTCCACATAATATCATATCAATATCAGAATCAGAATCACATGCAACATAAATACCTAATTTCTTAAAATTAGATTTAATTCCCTACTGCTTACCTCCTACCGATACTTTCTGGATTTTTATAACTTCACCCAAATCTCCTCCAACGTACACCTGTCCCATTATTTACTCAAATCAGATGAGCTTTATGCTTATTCTCAGGAGCTACCTGCTTATTCAAAAGCTAATTTCTATAATTAACTCGTCGGGCTCCAAACTTTTATATTTAGTAGAATATGATATTCTAGCTATAAAATCCTTCTACCTCATAATATTTATATTGCCCGATTATTAAATAAAAATACGCAAAGGTATGAACAAGCAGGCAGGTGCAATATACTGCCGTTTTTTATTCGGCTTGGATTGGTACGAAATTCTCAAAATATAACGTCGGCGCTACGAATAGGCTATTAGCTAAAGAAATTCATCGATTAAATAGCTAAATAGCCAATTTTGAATTTTTAAAGAATTTCTAATTTAATACTCCAATATCAAAATTCGTATTAAAATTTATAATCGGACTCTACGAATAGCAAGGAATACCATACCCAAGTCGGAATTGGAATCGGACGGCTAAATCTTTTTCTTCCTTTTTTTTTTCTTCTCCTTTCTTCTTCTCCTTCGCGTTTCGTCTTCTGTCTTCCTTCGCAGCTAAGTTTGTTATATATATATATATAATTATATTATTATTATATATATTATATATATTATATTATATTATTAACGTTATTATTATAAATATTATCTTCATCATCATTACCTTTATTATTATTATTATATTATTATATATTTTATATTTTATATTTATATTTATCAATATTTATCCATTTAACAGTCTTTTTAATCATAATCAATATATAAAATAGGAATAAAATTTATTCCACAATATTAATTTCTTGATTCCAAAATATTATAAAAATATTTATTTGCTATAATAATATTATTTTATACATTCCGAAATCGGGGCATTACAATCCACTCCCCCTTAAAAAAAGATTTCGTCCCCGAAATCTAAACTCAAACACATAACAAGGCAACTTAATTAAACAATTGTGGGTATGCCTTGAACATTTCTTGTTCTACTTCCCACGTGGCCTCTTCCGCTCCATGTCTGGACCACATTACTTTCACCATACGAATATCTCGATTCCTCATGGTTCGGACCTTTGTGTCCATGATCCACAGAGGCTTTTCTTCATACGAAAGATCTTCATTCAGCTCTATCTCATCTGGAGATAAAATATGAGAAGGATCTGCAACATACCTACGAAGCTGAGATATATGAAACACATTATGGATACGCTCCATAGAATTTGGAAGTGCCAACCGATAAGCCCAATCACCAACTCGATCGACAATTTCATAAGGTCCAACATAACGCGGACTCAATTTTCCTTTAATCCCAAACCTTCTAATACCTTTCATTGGGGATACTTTCAATAAGACAAAATCTCCACTTTGAAATTGACCCTCACGTCGGGCTCTATCGGCATAACTCTTTTGACGATCTTGAGCTGCCTTCATCTTTTCTCTGATAATTCGAATCTTATTTTTCGATTCCTCAATCATTTCCGGACCCAGTATCAGTCGATCACTCATATCGTCCCAACTCAAAGGAGTTCTGCATTTTCGACCATAAAGAGCTTCAAAAGGAGCCATTCCGATACTTGCTTGATGGCTATTATTATATGAAAATTCCACTAAATCCAAGTGGTCTTCCCAACTCCCTTGAAATTCCATAGCACAAGCTCTTAGCATATCTTCCAGAATACGGATAGTTCTTTCTGACTGACCATCAGTCATAGGATGGAATGCAGTACTCATATGCAACTGAGTACCAAAGGCTTCCTGCAATTTTTGCCAAAATCGAGATTGAAAACGTGGATCACGATCTGATATGATCACCTCAGGAATACCGTGTCGTTTAACCACATAATGAACATATAATTTGGCCAATTTCTGCATACTCCAAGTCATACGTACTGGAATGAACACTGCTGACTTGGTCAATCTGTCTATAATTACCCAAATTGCATCTGTTCCCGACTTTGACCTTGGAAGTCCTGTTACAAAATCCATTGCGATAGAATCCCATTTCCAGAGTGGAACTTCTAAAGGTTGTAGCAACCCCATTGGTCTATGATGTTCTGCTTTTACCTTTTGACAATTTAAACATCGTGCAACAAATTTGGCTACATCCTTCTTCATGCCTTTCCACCAAAAATGTTGACGTAGGTCATGATACATTTTATTTCCCCCCGGATGCACTGAGTATGGTGTATTATGAGCCTCACTCATAATCTGCTCTTTCAAATCATTTCGATCCTTTGGGATACACCACCTCCCGTGAAATCGAAGACTCCCATCTGGAGCAATATTAAAATTTTGAGTCTGACCGTACTGAACTTTCACTGCAAGCTCAACCATTTTATTATCTTCCATTTGAGCCGCTCTAATGCGATCATAAATTTCAGGCTCAACTTGTATCATTTGCAAATATCCCCGAGTCATACCCCGTCCAAGTACCTCAATTTCCATCCGCGCTAAATCTTGGCACAGTTCATCAGCAACCGACATGAAGCCCAAGTTATGCCTTGGTTTTCGACTTAAGGCATCGGCTACAACATTTGCTTTGCCTTCATGATACACAATTTCAAGATCATAATCCTTCACCAATTCTAACCATCTTCTTTGTCTTAAATTCAATTCTTTTTGGGTGAAGATATATTTCAAACTTTGATGGTCAGTAAATATTCTGCAATGGGCTCCATAAAGATAGTGTCTCCAAATCTTCAAAGCAAACACCACTGCTGCCATTTCCAAGTCGTGTGTCGGATAATTCTCTTCGTGAGGTTTTAGTTGTCGTGATGCATAAGCAATAACTCTTTGATTCTGCATTAAGACACATCCCAATCCCTGCTTCGAAGCATCACTATACACTTCAAACTCCTCACCTTCCACTGGTAAAGCCAAAATTGGCGCTGAAGTTAATCGATGTTTCAATTCTAAAAAGGATGACTCACACTCGTGATCCCAGTTAATCTTTGCATCCTTTTTCAGCAAATTAGTTAATGGTTTTGCAATCTTCGAAAAATCAAGAACGAATCGCCGATAATATCCTGCCAAACCCAAAAAGCTTCTTACTTCTGATTGATTGGTAGGTCTTGGCCAATCCAAGATTGCCGCCACTTTAGAAGGATCTACTGAGATACCCTTTCCAGAAACAACATGCCCCAAGAAAGCAACCTCCTTCAACCAAAACTCGCATTTGGATAACTTGGCATATAACTTTCTTGCACGCAATATGTTTAATATTACATGCAAATGTTTTGCATGCGTCTTTTTATCTGGGGAATAGACCAAGATATCGTCAATAAATACCACCACAAACTGATCGAGGTATGGTTGAAAAATTCTATTCATCAACTCCATAAACGCAGCCGGGGCGTTAGTCAACCCAAAGGACATAACCGTGAATTCATAATGCCCGTATCTAGTCCGAAAAGCTGTCTTCGGAATGTCATGCTCTGCAATCCTTAGCTGATGATATCCAGATCTCAAGTCAATCTTTGAGAATATAGTTGCTCCTCTCAGTTGATCAAATAGATCATCAATCCTCGGAAGAGGATATTTGTTCCTCACCGTGACTTTGTTCAGTCCACGGTAGTCAATACACAACCTCAAACTTCCATCTTTCTTTTTCACAAATAAAACTGGAGCTCCCCAAGGCGATGTACTAGGCCGAATGTAACCCTTATCTAGCAATTCCTGTAGTTGCAATTTAAGTTCGGCTAGTTCTAAAGGTGCCATCCGGTATGGAGCCCTTGATACTGGCTCAGCACCCGGCACAATATCAATAGTAAAATCCACCTCACGAGCTGGTGGCATACCCGGAATGTCATCAGGAAATACATCAGGAAAATTTCGGACTACAGGAATATCTTGCAATCGCTGCTCCCCTTGCGTCAAATCTCTTACCTCACACAGATATACTGGAAACCCCTTACGAATAAATGATTGAAATGATAGGGATGAAATTACCTTCATAAAAGGTTGTCTGGCAGATCCTGCATAATTCACCAGTTCGCCCATCGCTCCAACCAGCGAAATTGATCTTTTTCGACAATCAAATTGAGCTTGATATGCCACTAACCAATCCATCCCCAATATTACATCGAACTCGGATAGCTTGATGCCCAACAAGTTAGTAACAAAATCAACCCCTTCAATACTAACCGGAATCTGCATATAAAGCTCTCGGCATTCCAGCACTTCTCCTGATGGAAGTAAAACTTCCACTACCACTTCTACTGATGAATTCAGACCCAATCGTCTAACTAGACGCTTAGATATGAACGAGAACGTTGCACCCGAATCGAATAACACAAGAGCAGGAAAACCGCAAACCAGAAATCTACCCGTTAAAACCTCACCTGGATGATAATCAGCTTCTGCTTGGGTAAGAACATTTATTCGACCACGCTGGTCAGGTCCTCTGCCTGGCTGCCTAGATGACGAACGTGACTGACTTCGTCCCCCTCGCCAAGATGATCCTAATCCTCTCCCTTGTGACTGCGAAGACGGCGGCTGCCATGGCCTAAACCTCGGTTCTGGAAACTCCCTTGCAGTTACCACACTTGGACATAACCTGGCAATGTGACCACTACCACCACATTTAAAACATGTCAATGGAACTTTATCACAACGAGTACCTGGGTGGCTTGTTCCACAACGCCGACAAACAGCCCCCGATTGCTGAGACCTCTCCTGACTCGGTTCATTAATCGAAATCCCCTTATACGATGGCCCAGACCTAAACATTTGCCACCATTTCTTTTTACCCTTGGGTTCATCCTCCACTTTAGCTTTTCCCTTATCTCGAACCTGATGTTGATAACCTATTTCCTTCTCACTCTCCTTTTGTCTGACTTCCTGCTTCTGATAAAATCGGGCAGCACGCTCGTAAGCCTCATACAATGAACTGATATCCAACACCGCTAAAGCTTCTTGAATTCTGTGTTGCAACCCGTCTACAAAATGGTCAATTCTGTCTCGCTCACAGGAAAAGTAGTCAGGAACATACATCTCCAACTCATTAAACTTCACAAAATAATCCTCAACTGACATCGAGCCCTGCTTTAAGTCCAGCAATTCTTGCTTCTTCGCTTTTCGAATATGCGACGGTATAAACCTAGCCTTTAACTTTGCTTTAAATTCATCCCAAGTCATATCCACTTGGTCTACACCTGCAGCTTCTTCACCTAACCACCACCGATTTGCTCGGCCTTCCAAGAAATAGGCTCCAATATTAACTCGTTGATCTGACGGAACCTGAACAACACGAAATATCTTTTCCATCTTTTCAACCCAAAACTCAAGGACTCCTGGCTCCACTGAACCAGAATATATTGGTGGGTTATGCCGCATCACAGCGTCAATGAAACTCCTCTGTTGAGGCATCATCGCGGCCATAAACTGCCGAAAGAAATCCTGACTAGGTGCCTCTGTTGGTACATGCGCTGGCACAGGATACTGTGACTCATCAGACGAAGGATCAAACTCTGGGCCTTGAATAGCCCTACGTACACCACCACCTCGAGAATTCGACATACTGCCCCCAAT